ACTTTTGATTAATAGTTCGCGTCATATTCTTTTAAACTGTTCATTGTCAAAATTTCATTTTTTTCTTACTCATACGATAGTTTGGATTACACTTATTACTTTCAAGTTTGTGAGTGTCTTCAATTTAAAATTAATGATAACCAATAAGGGTGCTTCTATGAATTCTATGAAAATTATATTTTATTGGAAGGTTAAAAATGTACGAATGTTTGAAACGAATGTTTACATGATGTTTGAACGGTGTAAAATGTACGAACTAGTCACAGAAAACCACCATTATGTTGAATCGAATTTCAATAAAAAGTTCGCTAAATTAATCAATGCTTCGCAAATCATGTAAATGAAGAAAAATGTAATCATCGAAAAGTACGCTTCGATACCAAATTAAATATTTCCAGCCATTCCATCGTTATTATTACTGTTATTCTTTAAATCATTCAAAAATTTCAGCACACACTTTTGCATTGTCAATAAGTTAACAATGAAGTCTCCGTTTGTAGCGCAGAAAACTTAAATTTTATGGAGAATCTCGGAGAAACGTGCAACAGATAATTCTTCAATATGTCAAAATAGGTTTTGAATCGAAAAATATCTTAGTAAATGTCATTTTATTATGTTAAAAAGAACTTTGCAAAGGAAAAGATTATTCGAGTACTGAAGATCAAGAAACTGAATTCTTCGTTGCATCGAATAACACTACCAATATTATTCTTCGCAAATTAAACTAATAAGGCAAGAATTTCTAAAAGCCTTTAACTTCTGAAATTGCACGAATTTCATCTCTAGCCATTTGTCGTCTCGTCAAGAACAACATGCAGACGATTTTGTGATTAGAATAACACTTAGATAACTCACTGATTAGAATAACTGGAGGAAGACAGAATTCAACTTAACGAACTTTCTTCTGTTAGTATTTTTATAACGGATACAGTTTCATAGATCATGTGAAATAAGTAAGCATTAATGAGCTGTTCAATAACGTCACTGTCTAAAAAAAACAAAGCATTAGGATCCCAATACTGTTCATATATAGTGCAGAATTTTGGAAGATAAGATAACTGGATTTCTTTAAATGGCACATTAACAAGATAAATAAATGTACATAAACTTCTTAAACGAGGCGTTATATCCATTGTGAGAAGTAATAATATTAGAAGAAAGCAGGCCGTGTGTTTTCAGCACCATGAATGCCCTGCTCATTATGGCACATATAGTTATACGTGTTTTAAATGAATAGTATTGTAAGGATTATGTTAATTTTATTACAGTTCAATTTTAAGTGAAAGTTCCTTTCCTAACAAATTCTTAACTTCAACTTAACTACTTCCGGCCAGAACGTAGTTTAGAATCACGTCTGAATACATAATGAGGAAGAGCGGTAATTAATCGCGAAGTTCTTTGGTCTTAGCGAGAGAAATTCAGAGTTTCTGATTTACGCGGGTCTGCCTTTTGGCCACTCTCTCTCTGAAAGCTGTTATTACGCTCTCGGCCGTACTCAGGCCCTTGATAAGCTTCGCAGTCATCCGCGAAGCATATCAAGGGCCTGATTATGGCTTGAGACGCAAATCAAGGGCCTGATTATGGCTTGAGACTCTAAATTAATATTTTTTCGGCGTGTTATTGTATCTTAATTAAAGAAAAGGATATTCTTCTGCTCAAACAAGTATATACATCATTCTCTGTAATTGCACTGCATTATTGAAAAGAAAGCTATCAGGCTTCTTTAAGAAACCTTTTCCATATCAAGATACTTGGAAAACAATTTTAAAAGGAATTACGGTGGTAATTGAAGTGTTTCCACAATTAATATAAAGCATATTAAAATAATGAGTTTCACAGCTATAACATGGGATAGAAAATACATTTTTAAGTGTCTTCAAATTAATATTTCAGAAAACACCTAATAATGACTTCTTTTCTACAGATAATCCAATCTAAAACTAATTAATTACTTTAATTTACTTCGGAGTATTTCCTTCTTTTACTGGGCCCACCAGCGGCCGAGAAGTCACTGAACACTGGTACTTCGGTCTAGGGCTCGAATCTCTGCGAATGGGCCGGCCGCATGGGTGCCCTCGTGGCTTTCCCACATGTTCAAAGCATATACGGCCCAGCTTTCCCTAGAAAGCCCTTCAAGAAGGCATCCCTCCTCTGAGGCAGATAGCCTTTAACGAAATCAAATAAACCAAGCCGTTTTTTAATTGAAGATCTAATTTAAATAATTTTCATATAGTGCAAAAAAAAAGTGAACATTTTTCAGATTGAAATGTTACAGTAGAAGCCAGTTTTATGAACTGGAAATTTCAAATTTTTAATTCTTTGTACGAAGTAAAGGAAGTACTGTAATCGCGAAAAATTTCGGCTATCGCATATTTCAATGAAAATATCTATTTTGACAGTTATCGAATGCAATTTAACGATGTTGTTGAGTGACATCTGTAGGTAAGGACAGAATAAAGGACTCTTTTTCGCAAAACAAATTGTAAAATAAATTTAAAATGGATTTAAAATAGTTTTTTTTTTTTTTTTTTTTTTTTTTTTTTTTTTTTTGACGTCTGTACGTACGTATGTGTGTATCTCGTATAACTCAAAAGCAAGCCGCCTCAGAACGATAAAATTTTGTGTATAAGACTGCTATAACATGCAGTTGTGCAGCTTTCTGTTTGATTATAATTGGCCGCAGCAAAATTATATAAATGTATATACAGCCGCTCTGTTACTCGGCTCGCTGAACTCAGATTTTTTTATTCTTATATGTTGGTAAATTATGCATTTTTTGCTTTAAAAAATGATTGAATTATGTTGTTCTTATGCTTCAGTTAAGGTTTTTATGCTTTAGTTAATATTCATGCAAGACTTGCAGAATTATCAACAATTTAAAAGTTGTTTAAGTGCGGCTAAGCCTAACGAGCAGCCATATTTTGTTTACATTTAAAACTTAGCAGAATAGTGATTAAAGTCAGTTTCTGTACCTTCAGTGTCTTTTTGCTGAGTGGGAACACAAATAAACTTTCAGGTTTGTGTACGAAAAATCTGCCTTCTTGCCTGCTGGCCGAATTGCTTGTTTTTGCGTAGAAACTCTAATTTTAGCTGTAAAAATTGTTTTTTTAATTATTTTAACTGTATTTGTCTTTTTATGTTTTTCCATATTTTTCAATTTTTAATTTAGATATTTTGAAATTTATGTATTTTTGTCTTACCGCGAAGTGGGAATTGAATTAATTGAATGAGAAATATATCTCCAATTAAATTAGAGGAAATAAGTTTAAAGAAATCCATCAAAAATGTGTATAATTTAGTAGGCTGTACAAGGAAGTCATGTGGTGTCCACATCAGATTTTGATTTAATAATTTAGGAAACGATAAAAGATTAGCAACTGAAAACGAGTTCCCAGCTATTTTAAAAAAGTAAAATCTACTATATAGAAGTATAATCTACGTATCTTAAAAATCTTCTTTGTGTTTTACTAAAAACATATTTCTTCATTTTAATTTTTCTTTTAAATTTGATTAAAAGGCAAAGGTTCGTAATATCAGTGCAGTCAACACTGAGTAATTTGTTATCTGAAACAAAAGCATTATTAAGTCGCTCAAAACATAATATTTCTTTTTTGCAGATTAAATAATAACAGAGCAGACTTCATACATATTATATCTGAATAGGTCATGAATATTTTCGTTGCTCAGCCAAATATTGCTAAGCTTTGTAGAGCATTCAGAATCACAACGATATTATGAATGAACAGAAATGTTTGACTGACTGATTTGCAGTGCCGGCACAAATACCAAAATTTCACAGAGTTACATACATAGATGCAATGTCGCAAAATTATTTGAAAATCGTATTTCAATATGACACTGATTCAATTTTGTAATATTTTATTCTGATGACGGAATGATCTATCATTGGCCACTATGATGCTTCTCGAATATGTCGGTTTATCCTACATCATATTAAAAGTAAATAATCAACCAATAAATCTTTGAGATTATTTTTCACATATACATAGTGGAACTACAAATTGTGAGGATTGCCAGTACTTTAGACACTAAGGAATTAATGGGATTTTTTGCAAATATTTCAGCTTGCTTCTATTAAAATGTCCAGAGCTTACGGATTTAAATATGCTTCCTTTATTTGATTAGGAGTATTCCCTTAGGATTTGATTATGATTTGATTATGATTATGATTTGATCCTTAGGATTTAAATATGTAATCCTTTATTTGATTTTAAGCAGACAATATCTACAGTTATAGACACTTTAGCAACGAAGCAAGAAACAAGATTTTCTTTGCAAATGCGAGCGTCATCAAAGAACTTATTACAAATAAAAGTGTAACTGCATATAATATCTCCTCTTACTAGCAAAAGTTTGCTTTTGCGGATTACTTTCTTTACTTTAACGTGAAAATTCAGTTTGAAAGGCTCCCATTTCGAGAACAATTTACAAAGATTTTAGAATTCTTTCGGAATAATAGAAATTGGGTTAAAGCGTGCTCCAATCTACAATACTTAGAAATAATAGAGAAAATATAAAAAGATTATAGGGTCAAAAGGAATGGATATAGAAAAGCTATAAAACTGGTTTCTTCAAATTTCAGCATTTTCCCAAATCAGTAATAAAACTTTGAAGAAACATTGTGTATGAATATAGCATACATCACGGACATTTTTGTTACTGAAATCTAAATTAGCCAGACGCTAGTTACTGCAGAGTGTGTAACCTAATTGCAATTAACACAATTACGACGTGACTAAATATGCAAAAGTGTTAAACTAGTACGTTAAATAAAAAATATATAAACTTCATCTTAAGTAAGGAAGATAGAAATTAATTAATATTTCAAAGTGATTGGAAATGGAAAAAACGTTTTGTGACTATTAATATATACTATATCTAATAGTAATATATACATATAATATATATATACACGTATACACACACAACACATACACAAATATATTCATTAAATAATAAATAGGATTAAAACTTCTTACCCGAAATTTGAATAAATCCATAAACTAAAACAATGATGCTGGTGCAACAGTTACGTCTTTTGGTAGTCATAATAAGTCTGTAAGGAAAATATTACTGTATTTCTCTTTTAATATTTAACTTACGCATTTTACATTTATATAAAATATGTAACACTGGATATCTAAAAGTTTAACCGTGTATTATCATACTAAATTAATATTTAAACTCCCAAAATCGTTTAAATAACTATCTGACCCTTAAATATTCTTAGTAAAACTATCAGGCTGTAGCCAATTCCGTCTGCGATGTATTAGACGCTAGTTAACGGAAGACGCTACTTTTCTGCCCTGGGTATCGAAGGAAATCTCTACCGTTTCTGCGGTACTATGAATTTCGAGTCATAATTTCATAATATATTGCGCATTGTCTTGAGCAGTTTTTATAGCTTCATGCTAGCTGTGATTCAAGTTTTATTTTTTCAATGCAACGAACTTCTTTAACTTCGCTTTCTATCGCTTTTTTAGACAATTAATTCAAAATGGCAAAAATACTGTTTCCAGTTTCTCGTGCTCTACGTAATAAGCTGAGTTATCGGACAGTAGAAGCGTCTTAAAAATATCTCAGGTTTTGGTACACTGGAAATCTTGAAACCTGTCTTCAGCTTTTGGTAAAGAAGCATGGAAAATATTCAGGCAGTAAATGTTTCGTTAAGATTTTAACTTCGAGATGCAAATCTTTAAGCCATTCTATGAAGTAGAGGATGATCCGGGAAGTACCTGCAAAGAGTCAGATACTACAAACACTATCATCTGAAACCATTTCTGTGCGATACAGAAAGTAAAGAAAGTCGGAAAATGGATATTCTACGAGTTAAAAAAGACAGCAAATGCAGAAGTGTTTTAAAGTACTTTTTTTGCTTCAAGTAAAAAGTAATTTGTTTTTGAAACGCATAATGAAATGCGAAGGAAAACGGATCTTGTATGTCAACAAAAAGGTCAGTGCAGAAACTAAAAGTATCGAAACTTAACATCCACCCAAATAAGTGTACACTCGCAGTTTGCTGGTCGTCGCTTTACCTAATTAATTCTTTGAAATTTGGAGTAATTATCAAGTCACTAAATGTGGCTGGAATAATAAATAAGGTTGTAATGTCACTTCATACTCATTCAATAATGAAATAGGACTTTTTTTGATCAAAATTTGAAATCCAGATGTTCCTACATTAGTCAACATACTCTTTCTCCATGCTCGTTGCCATTTCAAGTGTCACTTTAGACCAAGTTTCAAGTGTGGCTTTAGAAAATTATTATCTTTTCTCGTATTCATTTCATTTGTCATTAGATGGTTGCTAATTAGCATTGGTTTACGGACTACACTTTACAATTCTTTTAAAAGTGGCACATGAAAAACAACTTGCAGACATTTCTGAAAGGACTCTTATGCGAATAAATTTTCCACTCACATGAGTCGAACATTTTATTCACTATTTAATTGTATATTTTTTTCAGCAGAAAAGTCTTTTTTGACTATTATTTTGACTTTAAAATGTGCTGTCTCTATCAGTTTGTTATTTAGCAGCCGAAGAGGAAGAAACGATATTGATAACCCATTAATATTTATCATAAATGGCAGAAAGAAACATAATCTTTAAAATATTTTTCATGGATTAAATGCTTCTAAACATCGAGAATAAGATAAAGCAAAATAAAATTTTGTATAAGTATTAAGGCAATAAGTACCTTCTCTTAATGAACAGTTATATCAAAGGTAGTTATCTATTCAGGGCAGTTATATTCAAGGTAGTTGCGAAGAAAAGTATTTTGTAGTCGCATACTCATGAAACAATATAAAGATATATTCAGAGAACATCTTACGTGCGAATGAAATACAAGACGAAAATGTCAGAATAACGTAGATTTTATTTGTTGCGCCACTATTGAACAAGTTAGAAAAATTTCTCTAGCGCTTAATTTAGTTAATCAATAAAATACCCTCCCCCCACGAAAAGAAACTAATTAATAAAGATGAAATAAAATTAATTATTAATAAAGTTTGTTCTTGGTACTTTATTAATACAGTAAATTTATAGATGCATTTCAAATGACCTTTTCCATAATTAAGTTTTACACTTAAGTAAATTTCTTATACTAAAAACTCTCAGAAAGTTAAGCTATCTCAGCTACATTTTTATTAGAAGTTAGCTATAATTCAAACATTGTGAAAATCAAACGGAGTTTACGACTAGTTGTTTTATCATCCATGATTATCCACGACTATCGGGTAAATAGTTTGATTTTCCGTTTATTAAAAATCATTGCTTTGTCTCAAAATTAAATATGTATGAGAATTAGCTACTTATGAACAGTGTATTTATATGATAAAAAGTCTAAACATGACACGCCATAAATATATTTATTGTTTATTTTTCAAAGGATAACTATGCCGTATTTTGAACTAAAGTCCAAATCATGGTATGAATGCTTGTTTTTTTACAAACAAACAAATTTTACCCTCTTTTTTATTACCATGATATTGCACTAATGCTTATTATTTTGCAATTATTAAAATTCTTTTACGATAAGCATTTTGCTTTCAATAAATGACTTTCATAATTGCAGTATCAAACAAGTATGTATCATTAAAACATGCCAAATAAATTCTACTGAAGACTTATATTGCTAGTACTGCTAAACTGCGGTTACTAAAAATTGAATTAATTAATATATATATATACAATGAACTTTTTCATGATATATGTATGCAATGAATTATCTTTCTAAGATGACCACCTTTGAAAATGACCAGTATTTATAAGAACACAAACAAACGTCAGTACTGAATTTCACTTGTCTAAGAAGGCCACTGAAACAGAAGACCAAAATCATTTGGAACCGTGGGTAGCCATCTCAGAAGAAATTTACTCTTTATATACTATATAAAGTATCAAAAAACTCGTTTTAAAAACAACAATATTTCTTCATGCCTTTGAGAATTAGGTTCTAAATTTCTCATATTTTGTGTGTGTGTCTCTCTCTATATATATGTGTGTGTATGCGTGCGTATGTATATAGTGAATTATCTCTTAAATATCTGTATATATAGATAGATAACGAATTGTCAATGAGATGTCTGCATACATATCTAATGCAAAATCAATTAAAATAAATAATATGCTTAAAATTCGGAATAAACCATATGCCAGAAAAAAAAAAAAAAAGGACGCACAATGGCAAACTGCATAAAAGAGGGCAGAAAAAGCCAAAACCAAAAATTAAATAAGAAATTTGCACTTTTTGCATATACTTATATGTATACTGAATAATACAGTTAATATTAAGCACTTAAATACTGAACTTCCAGAAAGAGTCGTCTTAGGACCTTAGCCGAATACTGTGACAAGACAGCTTAAGGTGGTCGTCACGAGAGATTTCTCTGCGTATACCCATAGTTTTCGATTAAGTTCCTAAGATGACTCTTTCTGAAAGTGTTCAGTATTTCTAAGACCTTAAATAAATACTGAATGTCATCTCTAAGATACCCGCCATCACCTGGTGAAGTTCCTCTTAAAAAATGTGATCGTCTTAGAACTTTGTTTCACCACTGTTTTGAACTAATATAATAAACATAAAATTCTGTTTAGAGAATTATCAATAAATTTTATTTTCTGCCTTTTTTTATTTCAATTCTCTGCCAATAAACAGGCAGTCTTTTATTAATTTAAAAAGTATTTTCATTTAGCAGTTCTTAAAGGCAATATTTATATTTTCCTAATAAACATGCAACTTACCTCAAAATTGTGATAATATATGATCAAGATGCTTTATCCAAAAGAAGAGATTTCCAAAACATTTAATTGCTTTCCTCTGGCTTTTCTTTTAAGTGAATAATCATATATTGTGCAGAAACAAAGAACAGCCAGAATCCTCGAAAATGACTTTAATCCTTTATTTAAAATCTGTTTCTTCTCATCTTCATTACGTCAAGTTCTTAAGAAAGAGCTTGGTGTTGCGGTGAAATCTGTCATCAGCCGCAGGGTTGTAGATTTTCGCCAATAATAAACAGCAAACATCGCCAAGAATGGGAGCTTCTTTCTCTTCTCAACTTCCGATTCCCTTCTGCATGTCATTCCTACTGAATGTTGATCTTCAAAAAACAAAGAAAATGAATCATATGTTACTAAAAATTCACGCACTATTAGGTTAAGTGAACGTCTTCAAAAGAACATGTGAAGAAATAACATTCACAATTTTGTGCTTTTCATGAAATCTAATCGTAGAATACTTATTTTTTAACAGAAACAACTGATGCATATTATTTTATTACTGTTTCAAGTGTAGGAGTTTTTTTTAATTCGAAACATTATTTCTTCCTCCATGCGTAATTTTAAAGTCGATACTTGAAGGAAATATGTCAGCCAAATCTTCAAGTTAACCAAGAACGAATGCTGGGATTTTAAAACATATTAATTAGAAATTCTTAAACATGCAAAGGTAAAAGTGGGTGGGATATTAGAATTTCACCATTGGTAGTACAGGTATAGTCACGCCGCACTAACTGCGCCATTCGAGCCCATTTATGGAGAAGAACAAGTAGACAGCAGTCTGAGAATCTCTCACCTCTCTTTCCCTGCCACCAACCTCTCGAAACAACATTCGGTACGCGTTTATTTTGAATGCCCCTCTGCATCACAGACACTATACTCTTACAAACACTCAGACCTTCTCCGTAATTCGAACTCTGGCCCACGGCAATCAACGCCGTTAACCTTTATTCTGGTTGGACGGCAAAATTCGTAAAAATATGTAAGCTGTTCTAATGTAAAACTTCTAACTTAAGTCCGAAGTTTTTAATATTACTTGGTATTTTCCATCATTAAATCCATCTGGAACAAATGATCCTTCATACTTTCAGAAAAATCCGCTGATGGAAATTTATAATATTTCACTTCTGGTTTTACCTACTTGCAGAGAAGCTGTGACATCTTCTAATATTCTTAAATATGTTTCATAAATATGCTGAATAATAATGTGCACTAATTGGAAAATTTATTACATACAAGTAGAACAGTAGCCCGTTGGTGCAATTTACTCTATAAAAACACCAGCTATGCTCACTGGCAATCTTCCACTGAAGAGACTGAACTAAAAGGGCGTCATATAGTACTTCCAGCACTCCACAAAGTTTTTTCATCACAGAACGCTGTGATACATCAAGAATTTGAATAAAGCATTCCTACTGATCCCTAAAGTTTTCGACGAGACTCAAAGCTCATGATCTTCAAGAGCAAGGAGTATTAAACATCCTTTGGGATGCTGTTGCAATCATTTCTATGCCAATAATAAGCAGTGAGGCAGACTATTAGCATAGAAAAATGGCTTTATTCAAGAAATTGTTCATAAAAACATACGATCCATTATAATATATCATAAGCTCATTAAGGATCTCTCCAGAGGTATAAAAGATCGTAGGGATGTCCAAATAAATGCTACCCTGGCTGTTTGTTATACGTACTACAGATATCTGCTTATACAATATACTTTGTATTACACTGTATACTAGTCTGCTACGAAAGATCCATTGCTTCGTGATGTTTTTGTCACATTTTACCTTTAACATGATGCGTTATTGGAACTTTCATATTCGTCTTATTAAACAAAGCTTTTCTAATCCTTTGTTGCCCAGTAAAGGTGAAAATTTTGAAACTGCAATTTGAAAATTCTTTTTTGCAGTTGAATTGGAAAGAGATGAGAATGTTGGCTGTTAAAAGTAGCTTTTGCCTTTCTTCGATAAACTGATTTTCTGCAAAAGCATGTAAAAGCACTTCTAATAAAATCTGCCGTAAAAAAGTCATCGCCTTACTCTGAAATACTTTTATTGTGTGACCGAGTTTCTTTTCATGTCAAATATTTGCTACTGGATCATCAGCTTTTGGCGAATTTCTCTTGCTATTAGAGCATTATTGCTACGATATTACTAAACACGACCAAACGTTTTAACAGCCGCTAATATAGAACATGCAGCTTTGATAGCACCTACAATTTGTCTGCGATTACACTCACTTAAACCAATATATCTCCTCATGACAGCTATCTCTTGTTTCCCGTCTAAGGGTCAGATATGCTCCGTATTAAATAGTACGTTACTTTCCGCTAACTGTTGAATCGACATATACTGAATCTCACTAAACTGTGTATAAGAATTTGTCCTCTCAATATTTGTAACGACATATAATACACCATTTCATTAAATGAGCCTCTCTTTTCAGTTAACTTTAATTAAAGGAAACTTCTGCCTGCCTAAAAGAAGTCAAGAAGCCTTTTCATTAAGAATGAAAATTATTCTACATAATTTCAATTAGTCTGTGATAATTGGTATTCAAGAGATACTTAATTCCATCAAACTGGGATGACAGGAAAACGTAGAGATAATATGGGTACATTACTGTTTGTTTCAGTCTGAACAGACATTTTTACTTCACTTAGTGGTAGCGTAATAAACGATGCACGTTCATCTTAAAATGGAATCCTGTCTTAAAAGTGATAAGTGAGAACAGAAAAAGCACATTCTTTTGATTACTTTTAGGTGTATTTGAATGTTAGATATTTGTTCTCTCTATTAGAGTTTTTTGTGATATTTCTAATAAATATTTTTGCAAACTCTGTATAAGGCATTTCTTCCACCTTCTTGGCATGCCTTCGTGGTGTGGTGGTCTGCACTCTGAGGGCGTATTCCAGAAGTCCGTGGTTCGATTCCCGGCGAAAGCATTGCATATTTTCATCTCTTCTGCTTCCAAAAATTACCTAATGTCTCTACTCTGGCGCCCGAACTAAATGGGTATTGGATGATGATTCTCCTCACCCAGGATTTGGCGACTGGGTCCCCTAAAAACTCTAGTCGCCCTTTAAAAGGGGGAGTATATAAGGTATTTCTCCCATCTTCTTGGCATGCCTTCGTGGTGGGGTGGTCTGCACGCTGGGCGAGTATTCCAGAGGTCCGTGGTTCGATTCCCGGCGAAGGAGTTGCACATTTTTCATCTCTTCGGCTTCCAAAAATTACCTAATGTCTCTACATCTGTTGTGTGGCCATTGAAAAAGATACTATATAATCATTTCATATATAGTTAGTGAAATCACTCTCATTAGATTAGATTTATAATTGGATTTTGAAACAGCCGCTACCGCTAAAATGGAAATTTTAATATTTTATGATTTAACTAGACATTTTATTAAATAACTTGATTGAAGTATACTAGACTAACTTGACTGAAGTACACTAGACACCAGTCAACTAAACTCTGACTGGTGAATCCGTGCATATCAAGCACGATAATCTCGGCATAACCACGAACCACCGCACGTATTAAAATTATTTTTCTTTAAAGAACATGAAAAAAGCTCCTTTGTCTGTGTTGTTAGTTATAGATCGTGAAAAAAGTTATTGGAAGTCTAATTTATGTTAATATATAAATATTGAGAAAGACTATTTAATTAGTAGTGCAAAACCGGATCATATGGTGCACTTAATTAAATTTTTCAAATAGCTAAATTTAAATGATTTTTAGTAATATTGAAGAAGTATTAAGAAAATGGGAACCAGGAATATTTGAAATCTGATTCAGTGGGCTTTTTTGGAATCGAATACAAGATGCCCGAATGACCAGTTAGAAATATAATTGTTGCATAATGAGAACATATGAAAGGAACTCCTTTAAATCGTCAGACCGTGAGTCTTTAGTGGATGGTATATCATTTAACCTGATCTAGTAAAACTATCTACCTTAGGAAAATTGACTTGCTGGGAAGCATTATAAATTTGGTTTGGTTTTTTGAATATGGCGAGGCACATAATGCCTATCTGCGTAGAGGGACGGATACCTTTTTGGATTTTCTAAGAGAAAATGGTTCGTATGGAAAAATCACGAAGACTAAAGAGCATTGTAAGGAGGAATAACTCATAGTTGTTGCGTGCATGAAGAAATTCATAGCAGCTTTATCAAATTTCTTGGAATCAAAGCTCGGGCTGAACTGATAGCACTTAATGGTCTCCTCAACTCCATCGCTGTAGGTCACCCAAATCCCGGAGCCTAAGATTTTATAACAAATAGAAATGAAAAATTATAATGAGCATATAATTTTGCTCCTATGGGCTGAAGTGCGTGTAACGGTGTGCATGGGTGTACAGTAATTTATCAAGTCAATCAAATCAAACAGAAAACAAGGATAAAATAGTATCAGATTTTTTTCCAAATTCAGAACAAGATGATTTCTTAATTAAGACACAATAACACGCCGAATAAATAATAATTCAGAAGTCAAACAACACAAAAATCAGCGTTAATCTACAAAATTTTCACAGGACTAATTTCGATGGTTTTACCGAACCATCATCTTCAGCTGCAAAACCGCAAATGAACAAGATAGGAAATAATGTTTTAGATAAGATAAGAAATTCTGGACAAGAATAAGCAAGTGGCGCCATCTGTTGGCGAAACCAGAACTAAAACATAATTTCTCTAAAAGCCGAAGGCAAATTTGGATTGGAATTAGGATCGTTAACTAGAACAGAAAGATTTTTATGAATGTTAAATGCCTCTAGAAAATCCAGTTCTCCAATGGAAGATGTTTTTTGAATAATTTTGGCAGCAGAAAAATTGAAAGTGTGATTTTCGGACCAACAATGTTGAGCAACAGAAGACATCTGTGTTTCCTTTTTTCTAACATATGCCTCATGTTCTTTGACGCGAAATTTTAAGGCTCTCTTAGTTTGGCCAATGTAAATTAAACCGCACTGGCAAGGAATCCTATAAATACCCCAGGAATTCATATCCGGAATGGGGTCCTTGAGTATAGAAGTTGGAAATTTTATTGATGGGAGAGTAAACAACCCGAAAGTTAAATTTCTGCAAAATATGTGCAACTTTATAAGCTAATTGATGGAAAGAAGGGAATGACAACAGAATTTTTATAATCTCCTAAAATAAGAGTGTGGCTTTTAGTGTGTTCAGATGAGAATTTTTTAACTGCTTGATTAATAATGTTGGGTGAAAAGCCCTCTCAAATAGCTATTGCTTTTAAATAATTTAGTTCTTCATCAAGGGCTAGTTTGGAGGAGCAAACTTGAAGAGCACGGAAAACATAGGAATA